AATCGGTTGAAGATATGTATGAGAGTTTTATTTAAATTTGAACCGATTCTCACCAATTTCAATAGGGTTTGTCCTTGGACCAAACAAATACTGTTTGCGAAATTTCATTTCCATCGGATAAAAAGTGGGACCTGTATTTTGTTCACAAAAATACATGGACAGACGGACGGACAGACAGACGGACTGACTATGAAGATCCTCAAAATTAGTTATGGGTCTATCTCGCTTCCCTCTCCATGTTACAAACAAATACACAAAGACATAATACCCTTACCACTATGTGGTATGGGATATAAAAATACCAAAAAGTGAACCGGTATGACCCTTATTTTGTACAAATTATTCTATAACCTAACCTAAAGTCCTGTGCCAAATCAAATGCTAAGTATAAAGCAAACAATTTGAGGCTCTTAGGTTGTGTGTAATGGGCCCTTTGACGTGACAGCCCAAATCTATGTGGGATCTACTAATCTCTTTGGGATCTACTAATCCCCAGAAATTTGCCCGAAAATTGTGGCACAGTGTAATTGGACATTTTTAACTTTTTTTGCCATGCATTTTGCATGCTTCGATATTACCACTTTTGGCTAAAACTAATTCTTGCCTCTTTCTAAAAGACTTGACACATTTTCAAAAGATTTTAGGCAAGGGAAGTCCAGCGAAAGCTCTGATGAAACGCATTTTTCCAAGGTATTACCTAAAAATAATTAATTATTTTTTCCACATATGTTCCAGGTATATTCCCAACATATTTTATGGAATGTAGTTGTTTTGCTTCTTTTGCGATACAAATTTACTTGCTTTAACAGATTTCAAAACCACACAGAAATAAGAAGATTGTCCACTGTGGCATCGTGGCATCTTTCACGCTCTTCCAAGAAAAATCCATTGTTGTTCTATTTTTTTATATCACAATACATATTTAAATGTCACATGTTTTTTTTCTGTCGACGTTAGCCTTTTGTATTTATATTTTATAGGATACTTGACACGCACAGACTGGCAAACAAAAACCCGATGGACTGTATATGATAACATATCTTTAAATAAATTAAAACCAAATATTTTTCCTAAAAACAAATAACAAAAACACCTCCTGATAAAAGAATCCAAAAAATATAGTATTGATTCAATGAGACTAATTTCACCATAAACAGTTTCTTGACCTAAAACATATAGGTACTTCAAAATATGCCCAGTTTCAATTCAGCTACAACTTCAATTGCTTCTCTTCTGTAAAACTCACATTCATACGCACGCACACACTTCACCCCGATTTTCCATGGCCATTGCAATTTTCACTTCATCGTGGTTCAAATATTGCACAATGACCCTGTGGCTTTAACCCAGTCCCTGGTCGGGCAATGGTCAATGTCCTATTGAATATCCTCGAGTCGAGCACAATTTTCTTCAAAATATGGAAATTTATGCCATGGCATGTACAAAAATAAAAACACCTTACAAGACTTGATGCAAATTCTTCACGTTTTTCCTTTGCACATATCAAAATACTTTGTTTCACTTGCTTTTACATTTCCACACTTTTTCTGCCAGTATTGTTGGGATAATTGTGTTATTTATTTGAAAGTATGCACTTAATTGATTTTCTTTTATTTTTTGTTCTTCTTTTTTCAATTTTATTTTCTTTTTTGTCTTCCTTGGAACGTCTTTAGGGTTCGCGTATCCTTAGTGGACTGTGTCATATCCGGTTCAGGTACATTTATTTTATCTAATTTTTCTTTTCTCCCACCGTTGGAATACATGGCTGTTGCGGTGTCACGTTGTTGTCTTCTATCAACGGAATTGTCCAAAGAGAGTAAGTTTACTTTTGGTAATTGAGAGAGAGAGAGAGAGAGACTATGTAAAGAAAAACAGAGAGTACGGGTAATAAATGCACTTGTTGTTAGTACTTGTATCCAATTGTGCAAAAGTTGGGGTCGCCTACCACGACATGAACATGAGCCACCTAGTGGGTGCAGGTCATAGGTTTTCGTGTTGGGGTATGAATGTGTCTGTGGGGTTTTGGGGTTTACGCAGCCAACACAGTGTTTGGAATTTAATATTCCGTTGCAAAAGGAAGGTCATATTGCTTTAGTGGATTATTATAACCCTTAAGTTTTCAAAGTAAAAGACAATAATCTGTTACAAAGACCTGGTCTTAAAGGGATAAAATACCATCTCCTGGTGTTCAATGATAGAAACAACATTCTGGTATGCTACTACTTGCGTGTCTTCAATGCAAAAAAAACACCTAATTGTCTTATATGGAAGACGACCACCTTCTGGTTTTCTGTAGACAAGGATCATCTTCTCGCCTTCTGAGCAAAAAACCACCTGCTGGTCTTCTGTAGAAGAAAAAACTGCTAGAAAAAGACCACCTGCTGCTTCTCATCTATGAAAACTACAATATGGTCTTCTATAGAAGAGACACGCCAAAGCTGGCAACTTTGTGGTCTATAATGCTGAGAAGAAAAAACACCACCTATTGATCTTTTGTAGACGAGGGCCACTTTCATGCTTTTTGAGGAAAATCGCCACCTGCTGATTTTCTAAATAAGAAGACAAGACAAGACCTGCTGCTTGTTTTCTGTGAAGGTTTATTACTTGAAGAAGGAGACTAATACTAATACCATCTGGTCTTCTATGGCAGAAAACCCCCTTCCGGTCTTCTGCAGAAGAAGACCACATTCTGGTCTTCAACACAAGAAGACCACCTTCTGGTCTTTTATAGAAGAAAACCACTTTCTAGTAACAAGTAGTAGAAAACAAGCTTCTGATCTTCTATAGAAGAAAACCACTTTCTAGTCTTCTACAGAAGAAGACCATCTTCTGGGCTTTCTGAAAAGAAAAAAACTTCTGCTCTTCTAGAGAAGAAGGCCAACATCTAGCCTTCCACAAAAGAAAACAACCTTATGGTCTTCCATAGAAGAAGACCGCCTTCTGGTCTTCTATATAAGAAGACCACCTTATGGTCTTTCTTAGAAGAAGACAACCTTATGGTCTTCCACAGAAGAAGAACCACCTTATGGTCTTCCATAGAAGAAGAACCACTTTATGGTCTTCCATAGAAGAAGACCACGGTCTGGTGGTCTTTTATAGAAGAAGACCACATACTGGTCTTTTATAGAAGAAGACCACCTAAAGGTCTTTTACTCCCGAAAACTGCTTTCCCTCCTCTGGTCCTCTACAGAAGAAGACACCAGAAGAAGACCACCTTCTGGTAGTTTACACAAGAACATCACCTTCTGGTCTTCTATAGAAGAAGAACCACCTTATGGTCTTCCATAGAAGAAGACCACGGTCTGGTCTTCTGTGGCAGAAGAGCACCTTCTTTTCTTCTATAGAAAAATATCACCTTCTGGTCTATTTTGTCAGTGCAGAATACTACCATCTGGTCTTCTATGATAGAAAACCACATTCCGGTCTTCTAATGCAGATGACCACCTTCTGGTTTTGATAGAAAACCACTGTGGCGGATGACCACCTTCTGGTCATTTATAGAAGAAGACCACTTGGTCTTCTTTAGAAGAAGACCACCTTCTGTTCTTCTATAAAAGAAAGTCACCTTCTGGTCTTCTCTAGAAGAACACCTTCTGGACTACCTACTTTCTAGTCTTCTGTGGAAAAATACCACCTTCTAGTCTTCTCTGGAAGAATTCCACGTTCTAGTCTTCTATGGCAGAAACCACCTTCTGGTTTTTTTGTGAAAGAAGACCACCTTCTGGCCTTTTATGCAGAAGACCACCATTTCGTCTTCTATTACAGAGGACCAGCTTTTCGTCTTCTACAGAAGAAGACCAACTTCTGGCGTTCCACAAAAGAAAACAACTTTCTGGTCTTCCATAGAAGAAGACCACCTTCTGGTCTTCCTAAGAAGAAGACCACCTTATGGTGGTCGACGGTCTGGTCTTCTGTGGCAGAAGATCACCTTCTGGTTTTCTGTGGCAGAAGATCACCTTCTGGTCTTCTATGGCAAAGAACACCTTCTGGTCTTCTAGGGCAGAAGACCACGGTCATCTGTGGCAGAAGAGCACCTTCTGGTTTTCTGCATAAGAAGATCACCCTCTTGTCTTCTGTAGAAGAAGGTCACCCTCTGGTCTTCTGCAGAAGATGACCACACTCTGGACTTCTGTAAGAAGACCACCCTATGGTCTTCTGTAGAAAAAGACCACCCTCTTGTCTTCTGTAGAAAAAGACCGCCCTCTGCTCTTCTATAGAAGAAGGCCATCCTCTGGACCATCCTCTGGTCTTTTGGGGAAGTGGATCACCTTCTGACCTTCTATGGCTGAAGACCATCTTCTGGTCTTCTATGGTTGAAGGCCACCTTTTCGTCTTCTATGTCAGAAGACTACCTTTTCATCTTGTATGGCAAAGCACAGCCTTTTCATCTTCTCTGACAGACGACAATCTTTTCGTCTTTTATGTATTTTTTTTAATTTTTTTTATTTTTATTTTTTCTATATTTATTGTTAACTTACTAACTTATTTATTATTTACTTATTTTGATGATTCAAAATTTATTATTTATTTTGTATTTATGTTTAATAGTACATCGTGAATGATTTAGGCAAAGAGACATTGGTCTAATATGGTTCTATGTTCCCTCTTCATAATGGAAAAACATGTCCAACAGTATTGCGTGCAGCTTTCTAGCACAACGGTAATTATAACATAAACTATGTAGACAGTCATGTTATTGTAACGTAATGATATTTTGTTGTTGTTGTTGTTTACTTCTAACGCAAGTGGGATATTCCAAAAAAAAGCACCAACATAGCTTGAATTCCTTTACAACACCTTCAGGCATAAACACTTTTCAACACCTAAATAATTTTGCAAATACCCAGTGACAGGGTTGCCAAGCTCATCCGAATGAAACACGCCATATTTGAGATACACGTAAAAATTCATATATAATTTTAATTTCTTTCTTTTGTTCTTCTTGATTATCATTTGAATATGAAAATAATTATAAAACTAAAAATATCACGACTTATGAGAGATACATTACTCGTAAAATTCCTACATACATGCATACATATAAATACTTTTATATATATATATAAAAAATACTATTAAAAAAAATATCAATAAATATTTGAAAATATATGAAATCGCGGAAAAAATGGAGCGAAAATGGAGAAAGCGGATACTCTGATTTAAAATAATTTCATAACATATCGAAAAATAGACTCAATGTTCATGCTCTCGCCGCTGCTGTTCATTCATGGAGTAGTGTATGGGATTTGAAAATTCGATGTGATGACCAAGAAGACCATCTTCTGCAAAGCAAAACCAAAGAAAAATAATAAAATATTTTCAAATTTATTTGTCCAACTCCGCAACTCACCCTTCGCTTGATTCTCTTCCAATTGGATGATACTGTTAACAATATTATCGATGAAATCTTGTGTCAGTGTTTCCGTTATATTCACCGGCTCGTAATAGAGAAAACTTCTCTTTTTCCTTGAATGCTGTGGATTCCTGTTAGCTGATCGCCGACTGCGAAACAGAGCCAAACTTATGTGAGACTTTTGCAGTGGTATTTTATCGGGACCAAATTCTAAACATTTGCCTTGAACACAATAACGATCGTCGCTGTTCGAACACCGTGTCCCCAATGGGAAGTGGCCATAGTTGCCATTGACCAAATAGAAACGATGTTGTATGAATTCATCTTGACAGCCAACACGACAACTGCGATCGGGATTTTCAACACTGGCAGCGATTTGGGTACCATGGCCGGAGAGACCACGAACTTTGGTCTTGTAACCGGAACAGGTGTTGTCGGCAAATTCTCCAGTCGTTTGTAAGCGTTCACAGGGCTGGAAGGGTAATTGTTTATTCAGTTTAGGTTGGAACTAAATAAAAGGGTCTTCTACGAACAAAGGGCTTCTAAGGAAACAGACCAGACTCTTAGGACTTCCTCAGTTGTAGAAAACCACTAAATGGTCTTCTATGAAAGAAACCCTTCTGTGAAAGAAGCTATCTTCTATGAAAAAATCTAACCACCCATGGTCCTTTAACCGAATAAAAATGTTTTTTACGTGTAGGTTCCTCACCCTATGTAGAAGAAGTATATCTTTTGGTCTTTTGCGAAAAAGACATCACAGCGAAACGTCAACAACTGGTCTTCAAAAGAAGAGGACTACTGACTATTTTTCAGGGGTCTATAGAAAAAAGCCATATAATGGTCTTTTGGACCTTCCAACATTATATCGAAGAAAATCTCTATTGAAGACAACTTTCTGGGCTTCCATTGAAGTCTGACTGCTGGTCTTCTCTTGAAGGCCGCTTTCTGGACCACAATCTGGCCCTTATTGAAGTCGTCTCCTCATTTTCTATTGAAGGACAGCTTCTGGTTCTCTATCGGACATCACCTTTTAGTCTTCCATTGAAGACCGCCTCCTGGTCTTCTATGAAAAAAGAAAACCATCTGGTCTTTTGTGGAAGAAGACCAATTCTTCTATGAAAGAAGAGCAGTTTCTATTGAAGTCTACCTTTTGGTCTTCTAAATGGAGGAAAACCAAATTAAAAGTCCTCTATTAAAGACTCTTTTATCATCTTTTTTTAAAGAACTAATTCTGATCTTCTACGTCTACCTTCGTCTATGGCCGAACCCTGCCTTCTGGTTTTCGGGGTAAGAAGACCTTCTTCACCACCAGCACCTCTTCTGGCCTTCTAGGGAAGAAGGCCACCTTTTGATCTTCTATAAATGAAGTCCACCTTCTGGTCATCTATAGAAAAAGACCAACTTCGGGTCTTCTATAGAAGAAGAACAACTTCAGGTCTTCTATAAAAGAAGACCACCTTCTGGTCTTCTATGGAAGAAAGTCGCCTTCTGGTCTTCTATAGAAGAAGAAGTCTCTCTGGTCTTCTATGAAAAAAGACAACCTTCGGGTCTTCATATGAAGAAGAGGACCTTCGGGCCTTCAAATGAAGAAAACCACATTCTGGTCTTCTATGAAGAAGACTACCTTCTAATGAAGAAGAAGTCCGCATATAGAAGAAGACTACTCCTCGTCTATAGAAGAAGGCCACCATCTGGTCTTCTATGAAAGAAGATGTTCACCTTCTGGTCTTATATGGTAGAAAAAGGTTCTTCTGTGTCCTTCTAGTTTTCAGTGAAAGAAGTTGACCTCTTGGTCTTCAATGGAAGACAGTTACAATCTGGTCTTATGTGTAAGAAAGTGCCCTCTGGTCTTCTATTGGAGAAGGATATCTGCTGATCCTGTATGGGTTAAAGGTCATCTTCTGGACCTCAATGGAAGAAAAAACCCATATTCTTAGCTCCTATTGACGACTAGCTAATAGTCGTGTGTGATAGAAATTCTTCCAGTCTTTTATTGACGAATATCTTCTAGTCTTCTGGGTAGAAAAGGTTTCGGTCCTTTGTGAAAGAAGATCTTTTTGTCTTCTGAGTTTGAAATCTTCTGATGATCTGTTTTGAATAACCTCGGCTCTTCTCTAGCAAGACCTTCTTCTCTTCTAGTAAAGAAAGTCTTCTATTAAAGAGAACCACTTATAACACTGACTGTCATATTTCCTTCTATGAATGAGGATTTCTGAGCTGTTTTGTTCTTTTGGAGGACCATTGGTCTTCTATAAGATATGATCCCTTAGTGTTCTAAAATAGACTCCTCGGTCATCAAAAAAATAAGATGCTTTGTTCTAGAAATTAATACCTTTCTTTCTTTGAGAGCAAGCTAAACTTTTGTTTTCTCTCTCTCTCTCTCTCTCTCTCTCTTTCCACTTACCTTTACAGTGTGCGTGCAAAGTTGTATATTCTTTTCGCCAGTCTTACGATTCATTACCACCTGGATACCCTTAGACCGCGCCATGCAACTTGAAAAACATCCCGACTTTACCACCCACAGATTTTCATTTGCTTCCGGCGGACCGGGAGTTACAACGGCAATTGAAGTTTGTGATTTGGGTAATGACGACTCGGATGGCAAATGATCGTTAACATGATAACTGTACTTATTCCAGGGTGCATAGTTATCCGATTTTCTTCGATAGGTTGTTGTATCATGGTTATATTGTCCATGTAATGGCTTTGCTGCAACTTCTAGAAAATGAAAAAAAGAAAAAATTATTCTAAAAAGTTAAAAAATATAAAATAATATTTTTTTAAAAAAATTATAAACCTAAATATTTTTAAGGAGGGTGCACTCAATCTTGAATCATACAAAAACTTTGCTGTTATGGGCAAAAAGTCTCTTAAGTAAAGATGTTTTCATTGAAAATCTATTTGCTTTACTACTTAAATTCAATAACAAATCAAAAATCTTACCATTCTCATATTTACTGCGCACCGTTGTAGGACCATAAATCCTATCTGCATTCGACCCACGATCATAGTAATTCTTATTCGTATTACTGCGATATTTATATTCATCATAATTGCTGCTGTACGAAGCAGGTGCCGTGGTGTGGGTCGTCGAGGGAGGTCCTATCGGTATTTGATTACCATACGTCTGATATGTAACCGATGACGAAGGCGATGATACCGATGTAGAACTCCTTCGTATTGTCTCATTGTCCATATCATTTGATTTATCCTGCTGCTTGCAAAAGATATTATCAATTTTATAATAATTACTTGTCGAATTATCGCAGGAGAATTTTTCACAACGCCCCTGGATACAGTACGAGGGTTCATCATTCCGATACAGTTTCGACTGGCAAGTGGTGCCATCCGGGAATGTCCAGCTACGAGATTTAGTACCATTTGTCTTGGTCTTACAATAGACCTTACATGACTCTTCTATGTTGCCCGAGATTTGTTCACCTTCACCTGTCAGATCGCTGTCGAATTTTTGTGCCTTCTCACAGACTTGTTTGGCAAAGTCCGATACCGTTAACATTGGTACACTGTAGCATTGTTTGGCCACGCAAGTTTCGAATCGATGATCTCGGCCAATACACCGGCGTTTGTAGTCAACACATTTCCGGGTATATACCTTGAGACCGGTACTTCCCTCGCGCAAACGTTTCGAAGGGCCATATAGGCAGCTGGAATCACAGGCACTTGGCTCACTCCATTCACTCCAACTGCTTGAGGGCTGTAAGAATGGACCATTTTCCAATTTTAAAGGAAAAAAAATATTTTTTATATTTTTCTAAATTACCTTCTGATACTCATGTAATAAATTCCCGGATTTTGGACTGTCCAAAAACGCTGCCTTGTCATAATTGGCCTTGGTGAGACCAGCAGTTTGCTTGGATGCTGTGTACAATTCAATACGTTTGACAACACAAAATCCACTGCGGCACCACTAAAAAGATAAAAGAACGCATTTTTTTATATTTATTTTCAATATTCTTAATTAATGAAATTCTAAAGAATATCCTATATTTAAGGATATATTTAGCGAAATTCTGAGTTATCATGAGTTATCATAATCATAAGTTATAATTTTTTTTTGTAGTCCATACTTTTGTAGGTTTTCCAGAGCACAGTTAAACTTGTTTGAAGTCAATCCAGAGCTGGATATTTGATATAATCTTTAGGTATCTCTGGAAGGTTTAGAGAAGTCCTTTCAGAGCGGAAGTCGTAGATATAAGGAATTCACTTAGAGTTATTATTGTAGAATTTTTTTATGCATCCCATATTTATAGTCACCGATCTTTAGAATCTGATTGGTGGTTTTTTCCGATCTATAACCGTTTATTGGATCTAGATATTTTTGAGGAACCCAGACCTATTATCTGAAACGGACTAAACGATTCATCAACGTCCAGATGAAACGGCTGAAGCTGGAATCTGAAAATTTTGGATGAGGGTCACTCTTGGTCCGAAGGGGTCAGTTTAGGCAGGTTTAATCGCTAGACTAGAACGGTACGAAAAGTATTAGAAGGTACTAAATAAAGTACTCTTTGTATTTGAGGAAGCAGTAGAGCTAAAATTTAGAATGTGGGTCACTGATGGAGTGTTTGATAGATGTACCAAACGGGTTTCTGGAAATTCGCAACTATAAGTGTACGAAATGTACTACATTTTGTACTATTTCATATCATGTGAACGGTTAGAGTTAAAAAATTAAAATTCAGAATGGGAATCAAGGTTGAGGAGTGGAGTCGATGTAGTCAGGTAGTTTTGGAAGTGAGTACTCATCTACACGAAAAGTACTAAACGGTACTAAGTTCGGTACAATTTGAATTTGAACGAACGGATGGCGCTAGAATCCTGAAATTTGAAATTAACATTACTGGCGAAGTGTTGGATTGGAATATGGAGGAAGTTTTCGAAATTTGTACTGATGTGCACCAAAAATACTAAATGGTACCAAATGTGGTAAAATTTCGGTTTGGTTGAATCGATAGAGCTTGAATCCTAAAAATTTTATCTAATGTCACTGTTAGTTTCTAAATATATATATGGTCGTGGCCAGTTTTTATTATAACAAGTAAAAAACATTAAGTTCGGCCGGGCTAAACTTTTAATACCCTTCACCTTAGGGTAAAGGAAGCGTTAGAGCCCATTATGACCCACAAATACAAATTTTTAGACAACTTCGTGGGAACATGTGGCAATAATCATCAATATACTGAATATTGGGAGGTACAGTTATATGGGGGCTATACCATAGCCTATATATACAATGTTTCTCATGGGGACATGAGCTAGAACCCATTATGAGCTACAAATACCAATTTTTAAACAAATCCATGAAAAAATGTGGCAAAAATCATCAAAATACCGAATATCGGGAGGTACCTTTATATGGAGGCTATATCAAATCATGGACTCATGAATGCAATGTTTCGCCACCGAAGCTGGAACCCATTATGACCAACAAATACCAATTTTCAGACAAATCCGTGAAAAAATGTGGAAAAAATTAAAATACGGAATATCGGGAGGTACCTTTATATGGGGGCTATACCAACACGTAGACCTATAATCACAATGACTCGCCACACGAACTAGGATCCATTATGACCCACAAATACCATTTTTTAGACAAATCAGTGAAAAACTTTGGCAAAAACCATCAAAATACCGAATATCGGGAGGTACCTTTATATGGGGGCTATACCAAATCATGGACCCATACATGCAATGTTTCGCCACCGGAGCTGGAACCCATTATGACCAACAAATACCAATTTTTAGACAAAACCGTGAAAAAAATGTGGCAAAAAATACCGAATATCGGGAGGTACCTTTATATGGGGGCTATACCAAAACGTGGACCTATACATGCAATGTTTTGACACACGCACAGGGACCCGTTATGACCTACAAATACCAATTTTCAGACAAATCCGTGAAAACATGTGGCATAAATCATCAAAATACCGAATATCGGGAGGTACCGTTATATTGGGACTATACCAGAACGTGGACCGATATATCTCATTTTCAATACCAACCATCCTAGGCACAATACAAATTGCTGTGCTAAATTTTGGCGTCAAATAATGTGGGCTGTATCGTAATTTCAACAGACAGATAGATTTTATTAACTGTGTCGGAAACCTCAAAAATACCGAAAATCTAGAGGATAAAGGCACCTAGTGGACCTTAATCGAACATTTTTCGCAAGGAAGGAACAGACCTTTCAGGAAACCCAAATGTCAAGTTTTAGCTGTGGTAGAAATCTTCAAAATACTGACAACGGAACTGGCAGAATGAATTTCAAATTTTAAGTTGGACTTTTCGTTGTATATTTAGTTTTAAAGCATCCGAGAGCTATAATCGTGTTTATTGATTGATTGATTATTAAGAATATTCTTAATGTCCTAGCAGAGCTGAAATGGCATATTTTTTGAATATTTCTGAATGCTACAGAGCTAAAATCGCCACTTTTTACGAATATTTTTAAACCCCAATTAAAGTACAATATAGGCAGTTATAAAAAAAATTGAAGGCCTTGCAGAACCGTGATGGTGAATTATAAAGATCATTGTGTTTATAAAATTCTTTCAAAAGTTTGCTGAAGCAATGATCATGGATTTGTAAGATTAACTTTAAAGGACTACCAGATTCATATCTTAGGATGTATAATTTCGGAAAAAGAGTACAATATTCTGTCCGAACATTTCTCTTTTTTGGTATGATCTCTTCGGTCTCTCAAAATCCTTCCATCTAACGGATTGTTTATGTTCAACATACCCTACTCACAAATTCCGCAAAACGTTTCACCTATTGGGTGCTCGTAGCCTTAAACTAAGCAAGAGAAATCCCAAGTTTAAATAAATTACATCTAGCTTACCATATTATCACCACAGGCTGTACCCTCCAGCGCTGGATGCGAAGTCCAAGTGTACCTATCCCTCTGGCAATGAAGATCTCGACAAATATCCGACAATGATTGGCTGCGAGCCCTTGTCGATTCTTTGCCATATTTCAGCATACACTGTTGATTGGCATCGAAACGCTCACCGGGCAGAATACCCTCAGCCGAATGATCCAAATTGTGATTGAATTCAGCGCGATTAAATAGACATTTTGCTTGGGATTTCCTGAAGGCAAAATACATCAATTATTAAATCAGAAATACAACAACCTTTGACAAACTAAGCCAACTTACTCCAAAAATAGATTCAATGAATCCCTTGAACATTTCGACCAGGTTATTTTGCCACTACCCAGTGTGGGTGACATTATGTGCGATGTGGGTTCACAGCCATTATCGATGCTATCATGACGCATACCTAAACTGTAAGGAGAATATAATTATTGTTGTTGTTCTTGTTGTACGGCAGAAAAAATAATGCAAATCTGACACGGAATATGGTCACTAAACCACCCTCTTCGTGGCTATTGTACAGTGCACTTCAATTCCATGCCATGCCACGCCATCACCGGTTTTAACCTACTTACTTGTGGCCAATTTCATGAGCTACCACAAAAACACTCTCAAAATGTTTGCCCTCGTTAATGGTACACGATGATGTGTCGATGCACATGCCAGCCACTGGTGCGAGACCGACCACTTGATTAATCAGTTTGCCTTTCTTATCCACCACATACAAGTCGAGACCTTGGAAGTGATTGAAAAAACAAAAACAATAAAATAAAGAAACAAACAATAAAAAAATCAAAGAATATTGAATGATTTGCAATGCCAAGTTGTTGTAAAATAATTAATATATCCGACAGCCGACATTACAATGCAGAACAGAAGAAGAAACATAAAAGTGTTGCATCAATTAAGTGGATTTTCAATTACAAAAAGGCATACTTTTTAAAAAAGAAAACAACTAAAAATCTGAATGCCCTCCACCATTTGGAACGAATTTAGCAATTCTCAAAAACAATAAAATCCGCTAAAAATTCTGTTAAAATCTTAGAAATACCGAATGTAGCTGTTATATTAGGGTCTATGTGACGACATGGACCTGCATAGGTAACTTTTTTCATAGGCCATTACAATATTCAAATGCGAAACTTAGAAAAAACAAATAAAAAAGTATCGGTCGGTTTTGCCGACAGATGTATACCCTCAGCCCTCTTCACGCTACGTATGTGTGAAATTTTAAGAGCGTTGGACCCTTATTACGCTTTCTTTGAGTGTTATGTTTTTCAAAATTAGATTATTGCTTCCCTTTCTGTGCAGAAAATATATATTTTTTAAATTTCGACCATTTGTTGGGGAGGTACCAGAAGAAGTGGACCGATATACGCCATCTAACACCAGACCTTGGCTAATAAAATGATTGGGATGGGTGAAATTTGAAGACAATCGAATTCTTAAATCACATTTTATGAGAGTTGTAATTATTTAAAATTTTGACCATTTGTGGGGGAGGTACTTGAAGGAGTGAACCGATATTGTCCATTTTTACACCTAACGTAGAACTGATGCAAATATTAGAATTTGCAAAGTTGAAGCAAAATCGGATCATCCTTTCTCTTCCTGTGCAAAATATATATTTTATTTTTGAAAAATTCGACCATTTGTGGGGGAGGTAGCAGAAGGAGTGGACAGATATATTCAATCTTAACACCAAAGCTTGGTTTAATATAAATATTGGGATTTGCGACATATGAAGACAATCAGACTCTTATGAGAGTTGTAATTATTTAAAATTTTGACCATTTGTGGGGGAGGTACTTGAAGGAGTGAACCGATATTGTCCACTTTTACACTTAGAACGAGTTCGGAGATGGGCAATATCGGTCCACTCATTCTGGTACCTCACCCACAAAAGTTCAGAATTTTTAAAGAAAGTATTTTTCCTTGTAAATAGAGAAAATATTAGATTCCGTGCAAACTTTGCAAATCCCAATATTTTTGTCAGTGCGAAAATGGATAAAATCGACCCACTCCATCAAGTACCTCCCCCACAAAGCTTTAAAATTTGGAATAATTATAATTCTTATAAAATGTGAAATAAGAGTCCGACTGTCTTCTAATTTCTTACTTCACACCATTTTTATTGACACAAGAACTAGTGTAAAGGTAAAATATATCGGTCTACTCCTCCTTGTACCTCCCACATAATCGGTCAGGATTTCCAACAAATTAATCTCCCATAAAATGCGAAATAAGCATCAGATTCTTTTCAATTTTTATTTTTACTAACACAGGTTCCGGTGTGATAATGATAGACATCGGCCTACCCCTCCTTGTACCTCTCTCATAAAGGTTCACGGTTTGCAATACAGAGTGCAGGTCGCATTATTATTCGATTGAGATAAAACTTTCCAAACGAGATTTCTTTAGTCCAATGGCGAACCCTATTGCAATTGGTGAGAATCGGTTCAAATTTAGATATAGCTCCCACATATATCATCAACCGATTTCGGGTTAATTGTGCACCAAATATCCCATTTCCGTCCAAATGACCTGAATTTTGGCACATCCGAATTTAGTCTAAAAGCAAGAACATCAAATTTAGAGAAAATCAGTTCAGATATAGCTATAGCTTCCCATATATAGACTCAAAAGACTTGCTTCGCTTGGCCGAAAGTGGTGAAATGCAGAATTTGGTTTTCTCCGATGAGAAAACATTCGTGGTCCAGCAATTTGTAAACAAACACAATGATCGTGTTTACTTGCCAAAGAGGTCAGCTGAAAATGTGCGCCTTCGGTTGGCCACCAGAACTCTAACGCCAGCAGATGATCGCTCTCCGCTCGTATAAATCGACCGTGACATCAGAATAAATGCTGAATATTATCGCGAAAATATTCTAGAGGGTGTATTAAAGCCTTGGGTTAAAAAATTTGGCACAGATCAGTACATTGTCTGCAGGCAGGTCAAGTTTGAAGATGGGCAGAATCGGTCCACGATATCGTATAGGTATTAAAAGTTCGGCCCGACCGATCTTTTAAAATCAAGTTTTCATTACACAATTTTTAAGTTATTCTATTTTTTCAAATTCGTAATTTCTTTATAAAAAAAGGTAATACCCAACTTACCCGTCAATATCACGGCATGATCATAATGCAATTTCGGATCTTTAGCGGAATTCCAGCGTGTCTGCCATTTACAGAAATTACTCAAATATATATCAATATCACTTGAACGTGGCAAATCCAAGGGATCCTTCTCCAATATTTCCAAACGTTTGAGAACAAAATTAACTCGTCGTCCCAACGATGGATGATGATAGAGCAGCTGGACTCCATTAATCATGGCCAACACGAAACGTATCAAATGTGAGCTGGTATCTTTGGGAAAATTCTTAGCCATATGTTTATAGAGATCGGTATCGACAAAGATAGCCGTCTCTATGTGTAGAACATCGTTTGGGTTGTACCAATCCTTGACGGGTGATATAAAACGTCTAGCACGTTTAGTGGATTTTTCCGAATCCATTAAAGAAATTGAGGACTCCGGCTGCTGATGGTGAGGATGTAGATGATGATTGCGGTGATGTGGTTGTCGGTTGTGTTTATTATGGTGGGAGCGATGAGAGGATGGATTTCGATTTTGTCCATTGTGATTGTGACCATTTGAATGATGTGAATGCGATTGACGCTGATGTGTCTGATGATGTCGTGGCTTAAAACGTAAATTTAAAGGTACAGCATTATTGTGATGTAATTTCCTAGCATGATCGGGGCCATGTCTTTGCTGATGTGGATCACTTTCAGTATTTCTTGTCGCCCTTGTGGTATTCTCCATATCAGCCATGGTCTCAATATTCAAGTCGTTAAACTCCTCCAGTTCCGGTTCAAACTGTATATTTTCATTTAATACTGATGACGATTTCGACCAGATGTTGTCATAAATCTCTGATTCCGATTCGAGTATAATGTGAGTGTTATTGCCAAATCTCTCGGGCAGTGGATGTATAATAAAGTCGGTTTGATTATGATGATATAGGCCACGCTTGGAAAGAAAAAAGGGGAATATATTTTAAAATTCTTGAATGCATAACAATATGTTGTTGTTGTTGCTATTCTACTACCTACCACATTTTCACCATCGCACAAGTCCAGCGCCGAATTCTCATTGTGATAGAAACATTTCTCCAAACGTTCCGCCAGTTTGTGTGAGTTCTCAACTAGTTGTGATGTATTGGCATAGCGTCGTATAAAAACGAATGCATCGTCGATTAACTTTGGCGTTTGCTGCAACTTCAAATTGACCAAATGATCGTTATCTGAAAGAAGAAGAAAACGAACCACAAAAAAATGTGGGGTGAGTGAAAATATCATTAGAGCGGAATTGATTTGCCACAGCAGCTTTGTAGTCGTATTCTGCATAAAATATACGAGGTGCGAAGCTGTTGAATGGTACAGCTTACGAATGTTCAAGCGAAGTGATAACTGAAAAGAGCAAATGAACTAAGTCAATGTACACTGTCATTAGCTTACATTGAAACCCGATTTTTATACCCTCAACCTAAAATAGGAGGGTATATAAACTTTGTCATTGGATTTGTAACTTCCCTAAGTAATCGTCGTATACAGGTTAAGATACAAACAAGTAAAAAAGCTGTAAATTCGGCCGGGCCGAACTTTTAATACCCTCCACCATTTGGTACAAATTTGGCAATTTTCAAAAGAAAAAATAAAATCCGTTAAAAATTCTGTTAAAATCTTAAAAATACCGAATGCCTATACGACGAAGTGGACCTGCATAGGCAACTTTTGTCATAAGTTATTACAATATTCAAATGCGAAACTTGAAGAAAAATCTGTTTATAATGTAGCTAAAATCTTCAAAATACCGAATATAGGGGGTACCGAATACCGGTGGGTACGGTATATGGGGCTATTCGAAGACGTGGACCTACATGGCCCATTTTCTGTTTTATGCTGCAGTATCCTATGCCTATACGACGAAGTGGACCTGCATAGGCAACTTTTGTCATAAGTTATTACAATATTCAAATGTGAAACTTGAAGAAAAATCTGTTTATAATGTAGCTAAAATCTTCAAAATACCGAATATAGGGGGTACCGAATATCGGCGGGTACCGTTATATAGGGGCTATACGAAGACGTGGACCTACACAGATTATTTTCTGTATTAGGCTGTAGTATCCATTACGAACTTCAAATGCCAAATTTGATACAATTCCGGTGAATAATGTCGCTAAAATCATCAAAAAACCGAATATCGGGGGGTATTGTTATATAGGGGCTATACGAAGACGTGGACATACCCAGATTATTTTCTGTCTTAGGCTGTAGTATCCATTACGAACTTCAAATGCCAACTTTGAAACGATTCCGCTAAATAATGTCGCTAAAATCATGAAAATACCGAGTATCGGGAGGTACCGTTATATGGGGGCTATATGATAACTTGGGCCTACATGGCCCATTTACGAACTTAACCTGCCTACTGGCAAAATATACATGTATGTAAAATTTTAGCCTTCTATCTCAATTTGTTCGAACGATAGCGTGATTACAACGGACAGACAGACGGACAGACGGACAGACAAACAGACAGACGGACATGGCTAAATCGTCTTAGAATTTTACGCTGATCAAGAATATATATACTTTGTTGGGTCTGACATGAGTATTTCGTGGAGTTACAAACGGAATGACAAAATTAATATACCCTCCATAGTATGGTGGAGGGTATAAAAACTACAAAAAAGTCATGATTTTTATATATATTTTTTTAAATTTTATTGAATAAAAGCAACAAATGTCGGAAATAGCATCAAATTTTAGAATAAGTTTTGATTTGTTCGAATTGGTCATTTTTGGCATGAATTATGGCCTTCAAACGGCCAATGAAACCGGTATTTTGACCCATTCTCGGCGAAGCGCTTGCTTGAGGTGATCGACACGTTGGTATGTTTTAATGCCAACCTTGCTCTCCAAAATACTCCACACACAATGGTCCAACGGATTGGTATCCGGAGATTTTGGTGGCCATTGTGCGCTAGAAATGAAGCAAGGAACCTTATTTTGTAACCATTATTGGGTGGCGCCTGCTGAGTCCTGTTGGAATGTCCAAGGTCTGCGTCCAAAATTAGCCCAAGGCTTAAATACACCCTCCAGAATATTTTCGCGATAATATTCGGCATTTATTCTAATGTCATGGCCGATTAATACGAGGGGAGAGCGACTTTCGGCTATTATTGCGGCCCACACCATCACCATGGTCGGCGCTTGAGTTCTGGTGGCTAACCTCTGACCTCTTTGGCAAGTAAACACAATCATTTTGTTTGTTCACAAACTGCTGGACAACGAATGTTTTCTCATTGGAGAAAACAAAATTCGGCAGTTCACCACTTTCGACCAATCGAAGCAACTCTTTAGCTCTTTTGAGTCTTTTGTTTCCGTTGCGGAAAGAAATTTTTCAATATTTGCCGAATGGAATATTGCGATGTGTTCAGCTTGTAAGCCATTTTTCAACCAATGCATCGCGGGTTTCAATCAAGTCGCTTCTTTACTTTTTGAACCGTTTTTGCTGATGTTGCATTCCATTCCGTGCACTTCCTTGACATCGGGCTACGCTACCAGTATCACGGTAACGAGCGATGGTACGAGACCAATATATTTATTCACATTTAAATGCTGAAGTGCTCTAACGATAGCCACTTGTGGGTTTCCAGCCAAATATAAAGAAATCACACTATCACGCTTGAATTCCACCACGGATAACTTATATCTGAAAAACTCTCACCAAAATGCTTTTGTACGCTTGTAAACAATACAATGAGATGTCACTGGGATAATTTTAAAAGCTGTCGGACGAGTGGCTTAGATATGACAGCAGTCTGAAATTGGGTGCAGTTTTTTCATCTTACCCTGTAGTTGGTAATAGGTTCTAGCTCCTGTGGCGGAACATAGTATATAAAGGTCCGCGGTTTGGTATATAGCCGATATAACGCTACCTTCTGATATTCGGCGTTTTGATGATCTTGTACACATTTTTTCACGAATTTGTCCAAAAATTGGCATTTGTAGTTCGTAAAGAGTCCTAGATCTGTTGGCGGAGCAATAACGATACCCACCGATATTCGGTATTTTGATAACCCTAGTCACATTTACCCACGAAACTGTTTCAATTATTGATATTTAAGAAGATAACAATCCTTAAAGTATAAAATTGTCTATGAAGGTTCCCGTTTTGGTATGGCCCCTCGCCCAGTTTCTTTAACCAAAAGTTGGTGGGCACTAAAAGTTCGTACTGGCCGAACTTAACGTTTTTTCACTTGATTTTTATACCCTCAGCCACCGAAGATTTGTATTATTTTTTAATGCTAAAACGTGCATCATCGAAATAAGAGTTTTAGACCCTTGATCTAATGATACCTCCTCTACAAAGGATAACATTGTTGAATAACAAAATGCTCATAAAATGCGAAATTATCCACTAATTCATTCTAAAGTATGCACATTCAAATATTTTTACTAGCACAAGATCTGTTGTGAAGATGGAATATATCGGAACACTCCTCGTGGTGTCTCCCCCACAATGGGTGAAAATTTTGAATACCTTTAACTCTCATAAAATGGAATATAATCCTCCTCGCGATTGGCTCAAGAATGAAAACTCACAGATCAACATCAATGGCTACATTTTGGTCCACCCTGTACACCTCTAGTTCAATCGCTCGCCAGGTTGCAAACGAAATGATAACATCACCATAAGTATACTCGTATAGACTACTATGAAAATTATTGGTACAGGTCCACAGTATTTTTGTTTGTTTTAGGTCATGGTTCAAAAACAAGATAAGTTCTCAACTGATAATCACAGATAACAAGCTCTCAACAAATTTAACTGATTTCACCGAGATTGTTGTGATAAAAACTTTGGCACCTTATCTTACTCGGTTAATGATGTCAGACGTCACTTGAGTTATTCCTAGTTTCATAACTTCTTAGATCCGTATATTATAGGATTTTGAATCAAAATTTTTATTTTGTATATTTGAAATGAGATTGTTCGGCCGGGCCGAACTTTTAATACCATCCAACTTAGGGTAATGGAAACACTAGACACAATTATGACCCACAAATACCAATTTTCAGACAAATCCGTGAAAAAAATGTGGCAAAAATCATCAAAATACCGAATATCGGGAGGTACCGTTATATGGGGGCTATACCAAAACGTGGACCTATAATGCAAAGTTTCACCCCCGGAGTTAGGACCCATTATGACCAACAAATACCAATTTTTAGACACATCCATGAAAAAATGTGGCAAAAATCATCAAAATACCGAATATCGGGAGGTGCCGTTATATGGGGGCTGTACCAAAACTTGGACCTATATATGCAAAGTTTCGCCACCGGAGCTAAAATCAATTATTTCCAACAAATACCAATTTTCAGACAAATCGTTAAATCGTCTTAGAATTTTATGCTGATTATAAATATATATACATTATGGTAAACCCCATATTTGGGGATGTTACAAACGGAACAACAAAGTAAATATACCCTCCTTTCCAAGATGGAGGGTATAAAAATACCACGGACTTTCTAAAGATATTTTCCAAGGGTATAGAACTTAATATACCCTCCCTTTTTTACACCTCGAAATATACATTTAAGACCCCCAAAAGTATATACATTCTTGATCAGCTGGAATTCAATGTCGATTTAGCGATGTCCTACCGTCTGTCCGTCTATGGAATTCACTCTATCTTCCGAACGCAATAAAGAAGGTTGATAAAATTGTGCTCAAATGTATGTTATGTCTGCAGGACTTTGAAAATGCGTCCTATATTTGTACTAAAAGTACTAAATGGTACTAAATTGGTTTTAGATGAAGGTAGATGAAGGTATAGAGCTGTAATCCTCAAATTTGATATTGAGGTATCTGTTGGTATCTGGAATTGAGACTAACTTTGTTATTGCGTGAAGGGATAGAACTGAAATTCTGAAATTTGATATAGGTGTCATTGTTGGTGTCTGCAGTTATGATATGTAATGGTTTTGGATGTGTGGTACTAAATTGGATATTGAGTAAAGGGATAGAGCTGAAATTCCGAAATTTGATATTGAGGTATCCGTTGGTATCTTGAGAAATTGAGAAATGGAGATTGTATTTCGAAAAGTATTAAATACTACTAAATTTAGTACTGGGTAAAGGGATAGAGCTGGCATCCAGAATTTTGATATTGAGGTATCTGGAATTGAGATATGGGGTGGCTTTGGAAACCTGTACTATAATTGTACAGGAAGTTCTAAATAATACTAATTGTGGTACTGGTTAAAGGGATATAGCTGATGTTCTGAAATTTTGATATAGGTGTCATTGTTGGTGTCTGTGGTTAAGATATGGAGGTGGTTTTAGATATGTGTACTATACTTCCTCGAGTAGTACTAAAAGGGATAGAGCTGGAATCCCAAATTTTGATATTGAGGTCTCTTTTGGTATATGGGATTGGCATATGGACGTGGTTTTGGCAATGCGTACAATAATTGTACAAAAAAGAGGTAGAGCTGAAACTTGACATTGACGTCGTTACTGTTGGTTTCTCGAGTTTATATATGGAGACGTTATATTAGTTTTGGACAGAAACGTTAGATGTGGGTCCATTGTCCTCGGTAAACTTAAACATGAAAGACTGTGAAAACTTTTTGATGTAAAAGGTAAATATTTTTCTATTATTCTTTCCGAGCCAGGAGCAGCTTGAACTATATCAATTAACCCTTATAGTCTGTACATTTAGTGTGATGTGATGAAGTTCTTATAAAAAAATTGTCAAACTTGATTTCAAATTTTAAGGTGGAAATTTCGGGCACTACCCTTTTCGCAATGTACCTTATTTTAAAAAAGCTAAAGTTTCTCAATTTTTCTACAATATATTTTCCAAATAATTGAATTTTTAAAAATATATTTGTTAAAGTCCGTAAATTTGCGGATTGTTTTATAAATACATTTTCGAGGACTTTAAATTCGTAGATTATAAAATATATTTTTAAGAATATTGACGATTGTTTTGAACCCTACATATTTTCTAAATATTTCGAAGGAGGAACATAAATATTGAGTACTTCAAGATAATACATGTTTATATATTTTTTTCATCATTTTTTCCATATCATTTAAAAATAAATATTATACTGTTTTTTTATTTTTTTTTTTCTTTTTAATCTGAATATTACTTCATGTTGTTATAAATTTTCTAAAAAATACAACATTTTTAAAAAATACTTTTCAAGGACCTTTTCAATTTTTTTAAAAATTTATAATTTTTAAGAATCCGAAGAGTATAGATGTTTTGTTATTATTTTCCAAGGACTTTTAGTATTATAAAATATGTCTGTAAAAATACTAAATTTTGCGGATTTTTTATAAAGTATTTTTCCGAAAATTTGATATCAAGTTTTAAGAAAATGTATTTTATTTTTTGTGCACTTAAAAATTAGTTACTTTCTTTAGATATATTTGTGAATTTAAAACTAATATATTTTTGCCAAAATATTGCCTACTACCAAATATTTTCTAGAAGGGCATTGTAGATTTTCTTTTAAACCAAAAAAATGTAATCTAGTTCGCATTTATTTATATACTTTGTGATATAATCGTTTATACATCGAAGCGCTTTAACAACAGCCCTCGCATAGATTCTAATATGCATAGCACTTAGAACTGCCATACTAATTTAAATTCATTGACCGCAAAAATTAACTTCGACTTTGTGTTGTTCTTCGTTGGACGAAGATGAAGACGGAGATTGCATATTTTGATATGCTTTGATACTTTTGAAACATTTCCAAAGAATTCAACGGTGGCAGAAGGTCAAGTGGAGCGAAAATTGAAATGAACCATAATTTAATAAAAATGTATATGGGCTGCAGATCTTTTGAAATGCAAAAGGGAAAAGTAGGCATTGTTAAATATAAGGCAGGAAAATGTAGATATCACTTAAGGAAAAAAATTGCAGTTCCCTTGTCACCAGGAAACTGGGAATTTAAGCTTTGTTGTCTAGTGTACAGAAATCAGCAATAGGGTTATGTGGAAAATCATCTTGTTTTTCCTATGAATTGATCTATTAACCTTTCATCGCTGAGATTTTTTATTGCTCTCCCGGTGCAGTTCAAAGCTGTTTATCATTCATCAACACTTGGTAGCCAGATGGCACATGCATCTCTTTCAATCAAAAACCCTCTCCACACTCCAGCAACACTAATTGCATTTAATTAAACAATGGAAAATGTCTATTTCAATTCATTTTTCCCTTTCTCTTAGTTCTTCATTCATCCAGCTGTAAAGCAACTGCAAAAAGAGGTCAAATAGGTCTTTGTTGCAAAAAAAAAGAAAAAAAAAACAACCATAACATTGGACTCTAAAAACTTTAGCAGAGCGGCAAAATATCTATGATAGAGATAGCCCAAGGCAAAAAGTGCTCAGCAGAAAGATGCCTACAAAATTATTATGGGCCATATGTTGCTTCCATGTAATTTACATTTTAACAATTCAGCTGACTACCATCCCTCCCAGTCCCCTTGCCAGCCAGTAAAGGTCTATGCAAAATGAATGGCTTACCTTTGATTTGCACCGATACGATTGGAGGTAACTCTTGGGCGCCACTACCTTGACTATTTGGCGTTTGTTGTTTTGGTGTAGCTGTTGTTGTTGTTGCGGCTGCTGGTTCATTGTCAGATCGTTTAGAGCGATGCACGACTGCAGTAGTGACGGTTTCTAAGCTATTATTTGGTATTTGTAATTCCACAGACTCCCAATCATCTTCGTGGTGGGATGCATCGACATCTGTTGGATGAGCTGTTGCAGCAGTTGGCCGATATATTAAATGTACCAATTTTATGGAACGCTCTGCAAATAAAAATAGAGATAGTAAGGATTAAAAGCAATGAAGTATTGGTTGGGGGTAACATAATAAAGAGGTTGGAGCTGAGAGATGGTGGAATTGGTTTTCTAAAAAATTATTTCTAAAAATTGTTGAATAAATGGCAACTCTTTACGAAAACGACTAAACAAGTAAGAATGCAGTAAGTTCGGCCAGGCCGAAGTTTGAATACCCTCCATCACTAGGAATGAGTTTGAAAATTTTCAAAAAATGAAAAATCGTTAAAAATTTGTTTTAAACTTAAAAGTACTGAATGTGGAGAGTTATATAAGGGTCTATACGAAGACGTGGACCTTCATAGGCAATTTTTGTCATAGGCCATTACATATTTAAATAAAAAAAAAATAAATATTCCGGTGAATATAGGAGGTACCGATATATGGGGTGTATGCGAAACCCTGGACCTGTCTGTCTGTTGAAATCACGATACAGCCTACATTATTTGACGTAGAGCATTGTAATCTGGAGCACTAGTTTGCGTTGTGCCTCGGAAGGTTGGTATTAGTTATTATTGGTCCTAGGATTTTACTAACGAGATTGTCGGAAGTTCGGTATTTGTAGTCTGTAAATAAGTCCACAAATATGTTTTAATAAATATTTTATTCGCCTCACGACTTTTATAGGTTGAAATAAAACTGCAAAAAAGTCAAACGCCATAATTTTTACATTTTTTTTAAATGTTATTGAATGAAAGCAAAAAATGTCGGAAATAGCATCAAATTTTAAAATAAGTTTAGATTCGTTCGAATTGTCAACCTTTGGCACGAATTATGGCCTTCAAACGGCCAATAAAATCGTCAGACGCTCCCTGCGGTATTTTGGCCCATTCCCGGCAAGGCGCTTGCTTGAGGTGATCGACACTTCGGTATATTTTAGTGCCAACCTTGCCTTCCAAAATACTCCAGGCACAATAGTCCAACGGATTGGTATCTGGAGATTTTGGTGGCCATTGTGCGCTAGAAATTAAGCGAGCAACCTCATTTTTGTAACCATTCTTGGGTGGCGCATGCTGAGTGCGATGGTGCTGAGTCCTGTTGGAATGTCCAAGATCTGCGGCCAAAATGTTTGCGAACCCAAAGCTTTAATACACCCTCCAGAATATTTTCGCGATAATATTCGGCATTAATTCTGATGCCACGATCGATAAATACGAGTGTAGAGCGACAATCAGTTGTTTGGCAGCCCATGCCGTCACCATGAATGGCGCTTGAGTTCTAGTGTCCAACCGTAGGTGCACATTTTCAGCTGACCTCTTTGGCAAGTAAACACGATCATTTTGTTCGTTTACAAACTTCAGAACAACGAATGTTTTCTCATCGGAGAAAACCAAATTCGGCAGTTCACCAATTTCGGCCATGCAGAGCAACTCTTTATCTCTTTTGAGTATATTTTCTTTCTGTTGTGGTGTTAATTCTAACACTTTTTGTAATTTCAAAGGCTTTACCCCGAGCTCTTTTTTTTAATATTTGCCGAATGGAAAAATGCGATATGTTCAGCTCACGAGCCATTTTTCGGCCACTGCGACGCGGGTTTCGATCGAGTCGCTTCTTTACTTGTCGAACCATTTTTGCTGATGTTGCTGTTTTTTTCCGTCCATTTCCTTGACGTCGGGTTACGCTACCAATATCAAGGCAATGAGCGATGGTACGAGACACAAACGATTTATTCACATTTAGATGCTGGAGTGCTCTAACGATAGCCACTTGTGGTTTTCCAGCCAAATATAAAGAAATCACACTATCATGCTTGAATTCCATCAGGAATAACTTTTTTCTGGAAAATTCTCACCAAAATGCTTTTGTAAGCTTGTAAACAATGCAATGAATTGTCACTGGAATAATTTTAACAGCTGTCGGACGAGTGGCTTAGAATTGACAGCAGTCTGAAGTTGGTTACAGTTTTTTTCATCTCACCTGCATACCTTACTTATTCTTAAAAGAGCAATATACTCTCATAAATGAAGCTATGATAATCAGTAAATCATGTTCTTAATGTTGCGTAGATTTCTTTAATAGACGCCCAAGGTATCTTATCAAATCCATTTCCCTCCCTTCATCCACAATTTCCTTTTAATTCCACTCATCCCATACGATTAGTGTTTTTTTCTTTGCGGTTCCGAAAGCTCATTTCTTTGCCATTGAAGCGTAAATTTCCAAACACAATGTTGCCTATGACAAAACCATAGATTGCTCACAAATATAGGTGACTTATATATGCATGTACCTCAGCTGGCTTGCTAGCTAGCAGCGTGTAAGTGAAGTTGCAGAAAAGTATCAAATAACACCTTCGATTTGCTGCAAACTCAATAAGTCAATCATGGGGGTATATCTCTCCCCAAAAACCAAGTAATCCACACCAACCATCCAAACCGACTGGACCAATTAAGTGCAGAAATGAAAACAAAGAGAAAAAACGAACAATGCAATAATTAAGGTAAACCACTATTTAAGCGAGAGAAGAAAAAAAAACAGATGCAAAAAAAACAATAATTGCCATGATTTGGTTAAACTTGAATGTACTTGTTGCCTCTTTTAGGGCTTATCTTCTTTCAAGGAGTGGTTAAAGTAAAGGGAGAAATTAAAGATTATCATGGTATTTCTGCCGATTTGTGATGCAATATGTTTACTGGTCAGACAGGGAAAGAGTGTTCGTGGGGTGCCTCTGCGCAGACGCACGGTTACTCAGAATATAATTTTTCTTTTTTGGTCAGTGTCCTGCAACTTTTAATGGACAATGATATTTTTCCTTGTTAGACAATTAAAATCTTTAGCTTCCCCTCAAATTATCAGAAAAACAGGTTAAAGAGTAAAACTTCAGCCTATGTCAATTTATTGAAATAAAACATACATGGTGAGATGAAAAAACCGCAACCAACTTCAGACTGCTGTAACTTAAAACCACTCGTCCGACAGCTGTTGAAATTATTCCAGTGACTGATCATTATATTGTTTACAAGTGGCTTTCGTTAGAGCACTTCAGCATTTGAATGTGAATAAATCTTTTGTGTCTCGTACCATCGCTCGTTACCGTGATACTGGCACTGGTAGCGTAGCCCGCCGTCAAGGAAGTGGACGAAATAAAACAGCAACATTAGAAGAAATGGTTAGAAAAATAAAGAAGCGACTTGATCGAAACCCGCGTCGCAGTGCCCGAAAAATGGCTCGTGAGCTGAACATATCGCAATATTCCATTCCGCAAATATTGAAAAATGAGCGAGGGGTACAGCCATTGAATTTCCAACAAGTAAAAAAGCCGTAAGTTCGGCCGGGCCGATCTTTGAATACCCTCCACCATTTGGTACAAATTTGGCAATTTTCAAAAAAATAAAATCCGTTAAAAATTCTGTTAAAATCTTAAAAATACCGAATGTAGCCGTATATTAGGGTCTGTACGACGACGTGAACCTGCAAAGGCAACTTTTGTCACAAGCTATTACAATATTCAAATGCGAAACTTGAAAAAAAAAATCTGTTTATAATGTAGCTAAAACCAACAAAATTCCGAATACAGGGACTATACGAAAACGTAGACCAGCATACAAAAGTTTTTGTCAAATTCGAAATAATGTCGTTAAATCATGAAAATACCGAATATCGGAAATACCGTTATATGGGGGCTATACGGATTCGTGGACCTGCATACAAAATTTTTTGCCATAGGTTGTACTACCCATTACGAACTTCAAATACGAACATTGAAACAATTCTGGTGAATAACGTTGCTAAAATCATCAAAATACCGACTATCGGGAGGTACCGTTATATGGGGACTATACGAAAATGTGGACTTGCGTACACAAATTTTTGTCATAGACTGTAGTACCTATTAAGATCTTTAAATACGAAATTCGAAATAATTCCGTTAAATCATGTCGCTTAAATCATGAAAATACCGAATATCGAGAGGTACCGTTATATGGGGGCGATACGAAAACGTGGACCGACATGGCCCATATACGAACTTAACCTGCCTACTGGTAAACTATGTATGTATGCAAAATTTTAGCCTTCTGTCTCAATTCGTTCAAAAGATAGTGTGAAAACAACAGACTGACAGAAAAACATACAGACGGAAATCGCTAGATCGTCTCAGAATTTTACGCTAATCCAGAATATATCTACTTTGTAGGGTCTATTGTGAATATTTCGAGGAGTTAATAACGGAATGACAAAGTTGAAGGGTATAAATGGTCGCTCTCCGCTCGTATTAATCGACCGTGGCATAAGAATAAATGCCGAATGCTAACGCGAAAATATTCTGGAGGGTGTGTTAAATCCTTGAGCACGCAAACATTGTGGCCGCAGACCTTGAACATTCCAACAGGACTCAGCATAATTGCATTCAGCACGCGCCACCCAAGAATGGTTACAAAATGACGTTGCTCGCTTAATTTCCAGCGCACAATGACCACCAAAATTTCCGGATACCAATCCGATGGACTATTGTGTCTGGAATATTTTGGAAAGCAAGGTTAGCACTAAAAAAAAAATACCAAAGTGTCGATCACCTCAAGCAAGCGCTTCCCCGGAAACGGGCCAAAATACCGCAGGGCAACATTCGGGTGGCGTGTGACGGTTTCATTGGCTGTTTGAGGGCCATAATTCGTGACAAGGGTGACCAGTTCGTACATATATAAACTTATTCTAAAGTTTTATGCTATTTTCGATATTTTTGCTTTCATTCAATAAAATTTAAAAAAATGTAAAAAATGGGCCGTGACGGGCAGCGTGTGGCTGTTTGAAGGCCATAATTCGTGCCAAAGGTGAACAATTCGAACAAATCTAAACTTATTCTAAACTTTGATGTTATTTCCGACAAAATTTTTCTTTCATTCAATAAAATTAAAAAAAAAGTAAAAATTATGGCATTTGATTTTGTTCCAGCTTTTTTATCTTAGCCTGTATACCCTATGTAGCGATATGGCTGAGGAAATAATGATAGTCCAGTGGATGTTGAGAAGTTTAAGGTCAAATTTCAAATTTGAAATTTTGTATGTGGCCTTAAAAATAAGAGTTTTTAGTTTGTTTTTAAATCTTTATTTAAATATGGTCATTTTGTTTTTAAAAAAATATTTTTTATTGTAAACAAATTGCAGTCGTATTAAAAAAGTCGTATTCCAAATTGTTTGTAGTCTTTAGAGACTTTCCCCTATCAAAAACTTGTCCCTTAAAATTTTTCCATTCAATCTTGACCTACCTAATTTTATTAGAATAAATTGTTTATTATTTTCTCATAGTATTTATAATAAATATATACATCTAACTAACCATCGGTTGTCAATGGAAACTTCCCACTTTCTTTATTCTAGATATGCCCACTCTTCCACTCCTCCCCCATGTGAAAAATCAAACACAACCATACTTACTTTTTCTTGACTTTCCAAATATCAACTCGCGTTCATGTTCTTCCAAATGCTCCAATAAGTTATCTTCATCAATCTGTAACGAAAACAGAAAACAAACAACATCAACAACATATATTTAAATTTCCATTTCAAATTAAACAGTTATTGTTTTAATTAAAACGTCGTATTCTGAAAAATATTTAAACGTTTTGATTTAATAATTTAAGAAAAGTAAAAAAAAAAAAACGAAGACAGCAACACCATGCCCTACAAAACAAAAGGCAAGAGCAACAATGAGATACAGAAGAGCCTCACTTTGTAGCGATTGACAGCAGAGGCAGCAGCACTTTCACTGTGAATTTCCATATCCATAACATTGACGACGGGTGCCACTGCTAGCCCAGATGCTGTTGAAAGCAAAGCTGCTAACAATGCAAAACGAAAGAAAACTAAGCATTAACACTTGAGCTCATTAAAAAGCGAGAGGCGGAGGAGAAGGAGGAGTAGTCATATCAATGCCATCCGCCATCCGCCATCACCAATAGTAGCACGGATGTGTGCGGGATGGATGCGGCTTTTTGCCCATGAATATAACGAAGAAGAAACACATGTTTTCATTTACTACATTTTCTTGAAAGCGTTACTCTTTGTGTGTGCTTCTTTTTTTTTTGGAGAACAGAAATGAATGAATGAATAAAGTTAGTATAACGGCATTTTATTTAAATACTAATTAATTTTCCAAAGCAGTTCAGGTTATGGAAACGTGTCTGTAATTGTCATAGTTTTCTTTTTCTAGAGTTTAAGATCTATAAATAAATGTGTGTCACATCGAAGGTATTCTACTAGAGACCAGAAGATTTTCGTCTATAGAAGACGAGGAGGTCTTCTTCAATAGAAGACCAGGTGGTCTTCTTCAATAGAAGACCACCAAGTGGTGTTCTTCAATAGAAGACCACCAAGTGGTCTTCTTCAAAAGAATACCAAGTGGTCTTCGTCAATAGACCGGGATATCTTCTTCTCTAGAAGACCAGGAGGTCTTGTTCTGTAGTAAACGAAGAGATCTCTTTCTACAGAAGACAAGTAGGCCTTCTTCTATATAAGACCAGGATATCCAAAATTTATAGGACCAGGAGATCTTCTTCTGCAGAACACCGGCAGGATTTCTTCTATGAAAGACGAAGGGCTCTTCTTTTCTTTAAGACGAGGAGATCTACTTCTACAGAAGGCCAGTAGGCCTTCTTCTGTAGAAGACAAGGAGATCTTCTTCTAGAGAAGACCACAAGGCTTTCTTCTAGAAAAAAACACAAAGTTTCCTTCTAGAGAAGACCAGAAAGTCTTTTTTAGAGAGGAATAGGAAGTCTTGTTCTGAAGAAGACCAATAGATCATTTTGTAGAGAAGAACAGGAAGTCTTCTTCTATAGTAGACAGGAGGCCTTCTTCTATAGAAAACTACGATGTATTTTTCTACTGAAAATGAAGAGGTTTTCTTTAATAGAAAACCAAACGGTCTTCTTCTAAACAAGACCAAATGATCTGTTCTGTCAGAAATTACCACATGGTATTCTATAATAAATCATAGAAAGATAGTCTGTTTTAAAAGTCTCAAAGGTTGGCTATTTTTTTTTTTCTTTTCTACGTTCTTTCTACTTAAGATTCTTCCAGAATAAAAATAAAGATTTTCTTGCGTGTCATTATGAGCCAGTTAGCCCTGCTGGGAAACAACCAATTATGTGAAATGCCCAGGTCCACACACACCACCTACCTGCCCCGATGATGATAATAACAGCAATTTGGCAGCAAAAAAACGAATTACATTGTTTTGCATGCTAGCATATTTTATAATTTATTATTGTTTTTAACCACTGACTCTGCCAAGTTCTACTTCGTGCTGTCGATAGAACCTGACGCTCATGCGTAAAAAAATTTCAGCAAAAGAAAAATATTTTCATTATACGCATTATTATTCCACCTACTGGCTACATGATACTGTTATGACCATAACACTGGTGAAGAATTGTATATGGACATATCGTAGATTATTAAAAATTTGAATAGATTTCATTTGTATCTATTAGTCTCTTCTTGTATACATATGGAATTAGTAGGTCATTGGGATGTACCATACCAGATCTACATAGATTACAGGGTGAGATGACTACTGTCATTTTTAAGCCACTCGTCCGTTTTTAAAATTATTACCTGGCGTACAAAAGCATTTGGTGAGAATTTTCCAGAAAAAAATTATTCGTGATTAGTGGTGAGCTGAAGAATTTGTTTTTTTCCGATGAGAAAACATTCGTTGTCCAGCAATTTGTAAACAAATAAAATGATCGTGTTTACTTGCCATAGAGGTCAGCTGAAAATGTGCACCTTCGATTGGCCACCAGAACTCAAGCGTCGGCCATAGTGAAGATGTGGGCCGCCATAACAGCCGATGATCGCTCTATGCTCGTAATAATCGACCGTGGCAACAGAATAAATGCCGAATATTATCGCGAAAATACTCTGGAGGGTGTATTAAAGTCTTGGGCACGCAAGCATTCCAACAAGACTCAGCACCATTGTACTCAGCACGCGCCACCCAAGAATGGTTACAAAATAATTATTACAAAATTCCTCTCTTCATTTCCAACGCACAATGGCCACCAAAATCTCTGTATACCGGATCCGTTGAACTATTGTGTCTGGAGTATTTTAGAAAGCAGGGTTGTCACTAAAAAATACCAAAGTGTCGACCACCTCAAGCAAGCGCTTCGCCGGGAATGGGCCAAAATACCGCAACATTCGGGCGGCGTGTGACGGTTTCATTGGCCGTTTGAAGACCATAATTCATTCCCAAGGGGACCAATTCGAACAAATCTAAACTTTTTCTTAAATTTGATGTTATTTCCGACATTTTTTCCTTTAATTCAATAAAATTTAAAAAAAAATGTAAAAATTGTGGCGTTTGACTTTATTGCAGTTTTTTCATCTCACCCGTAATTATTCAAAATTTTGTCCCTATATGGGGGAGATGCCAAAAGGAGTAGTCCGATCTCTACCATCTTCACACCAGATCGTGCTTAAGTTGAAGTATTGGGATGTGTGAATTTTTAAAAGAATCGGAGGCTCATTTCTCTTTTTACGAGCTTCACTGTTGTTCAAAATTTTGACCCGTTGTGATTCAGAAAGAGTATGCCGATATATCCCATCTTCAGACCAGATCTTTTGTTAACAAAACAAGTAAAAAAAACTTTAAGTTCGGCCGGGCCAAACTTTTAATACCCTCCACCTTAGGGTAAAGGAAACATTAGAAGAAATGTGGCAAAAACCATTAAAATGTCGAATATCGGGAGGTATCGTTATATGGGGGCTATATCAAATCGTGGACTCATACATGCCCATTATGACCTACAAATACCAATTTTCAGACAAATACGTGAAAAATGTGGCAAAAATCATTAAATTAGCGAATATTGGGAGGCACCGTTGTATGGGGGCTATACCAAAACGTGGACCTAAAATTACAATGACTCGCCACACAAACTGGGACCCATTATGACCAACAAATACCAATTTTTAGACAAATCCGTGAGAAAATTTGGCAAAAATAATCAAAATACCGAATATCGGGAGGTACCTTTATATGGGGGCTATACCAAAACGTGAACCTATACATACAATGTTTCGCCACACGAACTAGGACCCATTATGACAAATACCAATTTTTAGACAAATCAATGAAAAAATGTGGCAAAAACAATCAAAATACCGAATATCGGGAGGCTATACCAAATCGTGGACCCATACATGCAATGTTTCGCTACCGGAGCTGGAACCCATTATGACCAACAAATACCAATTTTTAGACAAATCCGTGAGAAAATTTGGCAAAAATAATCAAAATACCGAATATCGGGAGGTACCTTTATATGGGGGCTATACCAAAACGTGGACCTATACATGCAATATTTTACCACACGTACAGAGACCCCTTATGACCTACAAATACCAATTTCCCTGAAAAAACGTGACATAAATCATCAAAATATGGAATATCAGGAGGTACCGTTTTATGGGGACTATAACAGAACGTGTCTGTCTATGAAAATATGTCTCATTTTCAATACCAACCATCCTAGACACAATACAAATTGCTCTGCTAAATTTTGGCGCTCTACGTCAAATAATGTGGGCTGTATCGTGATTTCAACAGACAGACAGACGGACAGAGAGACGGACATCGTTAAATCGACTTAGAATTTTATGCTGATTATGAATATATATACTTTAGGGGTCTAGGACGAATATTTAAGGATGTTACAAACGGAATGACAAAGTCAATATACCCTCCTTTCCAAGGTGGAGGGTATAAAAATTAGGATGTGTGAAATTCGAAGACAATTGGAGTCTTATTAAACATTTTATAAGATTTATAATTGTTCGAAATGTTGAGCCTCTGTATGGGAGGTACTTTATGGAATGGGCCGATATTGTCTATTTTAACACCTTACCTAGCACTGGCAAAAATATTCGGTTGTGCAAATTTTCACAAAAGCAAATGAACCTTTCTCTTTCAATGAAGTAGATTATCTCCTTTGTAAAATGTTGGCCTTTTGTGGGGAGATACCAGAAGTAGTGGACCGATTTTATTCATCTCCGATTTCAACCTAAGTTTGGCCATAATATTACGATATACCAAATTTGGACCAAAACGGATGCTCCCTTCGAGAGTTATCGGACGCACCAGCCAGACAGACGAACATCTTTAGATCGACTTTAAATGTCCTGAAATGGATCTAAAGCCGTTATTTCGATAAGGCACGTTTCGTATGGCTGAGAGTATAAAATGCTAATTATGTGCATAAGCTGACAAAACGTAAATAAATGTTGACATTTCATATGACATTTCCAATAATTACCATCTGTATCTATTACCTTGTTCTGCACTGTTTGTTCTTCTGTACGATATTCTGTGATCTTCATTTTCGTGTGGTTGCACCCAACACAAGGGCGCGAAATGGAAATTACAGCAACCGTAAATTTAGTATCTTAAATAGCAAGAAGTAGGTAGCAATGACCACACAACAGCAACAACAACAAAGAACATCGAAA